TTGAGGTAACATATGAAACACATGGAGTAAATGGTTAAATTTTAATTGACCTAATCTGCTGTAGTTTTCTAAATGTTTGATCAATTAAAACATTTTAGTTGAATGGACTACAAAACCATTTCAGTAAAGATTGAGCCAACTAAAAAAATAACAATTCAGGCAACACTTTGAAGACAGAAATTGACTGAATGTAAAATTTCTGTGGAACTAGTCACTAAATAATAATTAGTTGAAACAGCTTGGAATTTTTTTACAGTGTGTTCTAATGGGTGGATTGTATACAATCGCTGGAATATTTTAATTTAAAAGGCTTCAAAACCCGTGCAAATGCTGTAGTTTCAGGAGCACGCATCAAAGGCGCTGATCGGAGCGAGCGGTGACAGATGTCTCTTCTTTCACACTGCTCTGGACATCAGACAGTAAATATGATCCTGTCTTGGCCTGCTAATGATCAGATAGGCCTACGTTGGTTTAGCTTGTCAGTGTGAATGAAACGTATGTATTCATTTGTATGTTTAACTGATTTTAAAGGGAAACTGAAGTGAGAAGAGTTACCCGGCTCCTCCCTCTAGTGGAGTGGAATTGCTCCTCTAGAGGGTGCATTTTTCTCAGCCAATGTAAGTCTATGGGACATTTAAAAATTTTAATAATTAATTATAGGAAAACTGTATGTCTGATCAGTCTGAAAAGATATAGCAACAAACTAGACATCAGGGCCCAGGTCTCTGCCAAGTTTGGGGCATGTGGCTTTAAAGCCCTAGGAGGAGATAGAGTCAGAAAATTTCGTCTCAGAAGAAAAATAATACGTTTAAACAGCATAACATTGGCTTTGTCAAGCCAACATAATAAGTAAACTCTTAGACTTTTTTCTATTGTTTTAGTAATTTGACCTTAAAAATAGAAAATGAACTCTATTAGTACATGAAGGATACTTAAGGCAAACATGCAGTATGAAATTTACACATAAATCATTTAGTAAAAATAATTACAAAAACAAAAAACTAAAATATAGCGGAAAAGAATATTGAAACATACACAAATGCAAACGGTCATTGCCAACATTTAAGAGTTTTTAAGACCCTTTTTAAAGACCCAATTAAACTAAATTTAAGGTATAAATTGAAGGGAACACAATATGTCAATATGTTCTCTAAATATAAATGTCTAAGGAGAACACAATGAGAAATACAACTTCCAACCGATCTCCAATACTTTTTAATTCATTTTTATATATATGAAAAAAACGTTTACTGTACCTGATCACATATATACGTTTTACAGTATTCTGATCACACTGCACAAAAGTGCTGTTCTTCTGCAGTATTTTTGTCTTGTTTTCCAGTGCTAACACGTCTTAAATCAAGAGAGATGCAAAAAATAACATTGGATAAGAAGTCTTGTTTTCTGAGAATTTGATCAAAAATAACTGAATTTATGATTTAAAAAAGGGATAAATATCTGCCAATGGGCTCAGAAAAATCTAATTATATCAAAAGGAAAACAAGATATAGACAGACACAGATAAAAAAAGACTTATCTTCATGTTGCATCTCAAGTAAATTTGAAGGATATTTGTATCGGAAAACAAGAAAAAAATCAACATTAACATTAATATTCAATTACAGAAGATATTCAGTTATATTTTTCAATTATTTTTTCAATCATTCAGCAAGATTTATTATACTTTATTTTTTTTGCATGTGACATTTAAAACCCCGACTTTATGAATTTAAGACTTTCTGCTCCAATTTAAGACCTTTTAAGGCTTTAATTTGTGTAAGGCCGAATCAAAGCTTTTTAAGACCAACAGAAACCCTGAATATATATATGCACAGATTAAATGTAATTTGAACCGCATACATAATCAAGAACATTCAAGCATGAACCTAATAAAAACTGCATGGTTAATGATTAACTGTCAAATCTTGACAACAATTAAAATCTACTTTGCTCATGTCTATTTGGACGACTGGAGAAATGCTTTCTATTCACTTTGAACAGTTCAATCAATAAGATGGACTTTTGAGTGGACAAATAACTCATAGCATTCATCACATCACATAATTTCATGGATGCAAAGAAATAACAGAAAAAGGAACTCAATCATCAGAAAGTGCAGGCGTTCTTCAGCTCTGCTAGAGCCGTTTCTCTAGATTACATCTGCGTTTTCTTAGACAGCGCTTCTGCTTCCTGTGAAGAAACACACAGAAACCCATCGAATCAGTTCCAGTCAGCAGTGAGAAGCTGTTCAGCACAGCAGAAGAAAGACTAGAGCAGTGTGTTCATCAGACGGACATTAGCACTGCATTCCTAGAGCGGACGCACGCTGGGAAGAAAGGAGCCTTTATGTCCCTCAGACACCTACCTTTGAGCCTGGAGGCGCTGTCAAGCCCAGAAACGCATACACAGCATGGTCCTCACGGGCACAGAAGAAGGCCTCGTAATTCTGCAGCACACAAGCAAAAGAAAGCACTGCTCATCTTTGAGTCAGACAAAACACAAGACTCCACTTAAAAGGAGACTGGTAAACATTACTTGTGCAGCTCAATGAAAACAGACTGAAATCGATTCATTTTGATTGCTTTTAATGTGTTAAGTGTAAACTGTGAACGTCATACTCTATGTTGGGTAAACAAAATCATTGTTGTTTTTAAACCTGGAAATATCATAAGGAATATTCCGGGTTAAATCTGTTCTATGTTGTTAAAGGAATCACCTAGAAAATACAATTCTCTGATCATTTATTCAGCCTCGTGTCTTTCTAAACTTGTAAACACAAAAGAAGATATTATGAAGAATGTTTCAGTCGTTTTTGTCAGTGGGACCCAAAACATTCATGCTCCAAATGATGATCAAAATTTTATTTCATGATATGATTTATTTGATGTTACATATACTGTAGTTATTATAATATAATTATTTTTGTAATTTTATTTAATTTTGAACATAAGAATGTAGCAAATTATTAACAATTGGCTAAGTAAATGAGATAAGCAGTACTTTTCAGGTAGCAAAATACTACAGAAATGTAATAATCTAATGTAAAAATAAAATTGCATAGTCTTCACTCAGTGAATTAAATATACATTGATCTTTATTAAACCTACCTTACATACTAAAGTGTGTGTAAGTGTGTAATTTTCTCCTCCCAACAAAAATTAAAAATAATATAAAATATGAATATGTAAATGAGCATATTACGGTCATATACTGCAGTAGGTGTGTATTATGCAGCTGCCACTTTAGGACCTAACGCACAGATCCAATCCACTTGTTAAATCGTGACATATTCAGTACTGTTTCCGGCTGCAAGCCTCTACTCAGATTCAAGTGTGCCTTCGAAATAAGACACAGCCACAGCACACCCTGAAACTAATCTAGACGGTTTACACTACAGTCTCAGGGCTATATTTTAACAATTCGATGAATAGCTTCATGGCCAACTCAGATGTTTGGTAAGATACGTGCGAGGACCAGTGATGTCTGATGTGACTTGACTTTTGAGGATTGTGTCAATGAATGTTTTAGATTGATTTGAAAGTGAATAAACCCTTAAATATCAACATAAGCTGTGTTTCTCAACAGCATTGTGAGTTAAGTTGATCGTAGAGACCATTTGGTAGCAACGGTTTTACCACCTACTTAGGCTTGCGATGCTTTTGAGAAACGAGAGCTATAGCCAGCACATAGTGTCTGTCAGGAGCACACACCCCACAGTATCTGTCCTCGTTGAAGATCTGAGGAGGTAAAGGGTTCCCTGTCGCCGGCCGGAAATCCTCGGGGACGTGTTCTCGCATCCACTTCCTGTTGTCTTCATCAGCCGCGATGTCACATTCCTCAAACTCAATCTTATTGGCTGCCAAGAAGCCCTTGACATCCTGCTGCTGTTTCTTGATCTGAGGGAATCATTAGATTAGATCACACACTAAAGCGATGGACTCTTAATGCTGCTAGGCTCAAACACAGGGCGTTTCATGTGTGAAAGCGCTATTTTTTACAGTGGACTTCACGTGTATCAGGTTTTGTTGAGTTACAGCTTTTCACAAAATTAGGATATTATGAGCATAACTAATTGTCTTGGGGAAGACTTCAAGTAAAGTGTTAATAACCTTTTTTTTATTGTGAATCTCAAATACAGACACTGCTGGAAAGGGTTCAAATATGCAGAAGATGTTGGAAAAGCAAAGAATGCTGGAGAGAACTGGAGGACATACAAGGGACTCCTGAACAACTATCACAGATGCAAAGAAACGTTGTGGAACATGCAGGCAACAACACACATGATTAAGAATCAGTCTATGTCAACTAGAACTGAATCTGTTTGTTGATTTTATTTTTTTATTCAGATATTATTTTGTCTTGTGAACTGCATGTAATGTCAAATAAAAAGAATGATTTGTTGAAATTAATACCATTTTGCAGATTTAGAAGCGTGTGTCATGTATGTATTTTTATAATTGTTTATGTTTCTGGTGTTCTAACCATGTTAACGTTTTTACTTTCTCTCCAGTCTGACTCTTTTCGGTACTCTTGCCTCCTTGTGTGGGAAATAAAAGTTGTACATATTTGTATCATTACATGATTCATTCAGCTGAATGACCTTTGAACTGAGAAACTTCCTGGATCTCTCACGCATTTAGTTTGTTGTGGAGTATTCAAATGTGACTGGCTAAACAGTGCAACCATATCTTCTCTTTTTGTCCATAATACAAGTGAGAAATATAAAATAGTAGTGATCCTGAGCACCTTGATCAGCTCGTTCATGTGAGTTTGATCAGACTTGGAGCTAAACTCGCATAACTATGTGAAAGGAGGCAGTGTCTCCAGTACAATATGTGACCCTGGAGCACAAAACCAGTCATACGGGTCAATTTTTCGAAACTGGGATGTATGCATCATCTGAAAGCTGAATAAATAAGTTTTGTTTGTTAGGATAGGACAATATTTGGCTGAGATACAACTATTTGAAAATCTGGAATCTGAGGGTGCAAAAAAATCTAAATATTGAGAAAATCATCTTTAAAGTTGTCCAAATGAAGTTCTTAGCAATGCATATTAGAAATCCACACGCCACTGCTGTCTGAAGTGTGGACTAGTCAGGACTAGTGTCGTTCCAGAGTTACATAACTTACTGGAGCACAGCAGTGTTCTCTAACTCACCAAATTAGGAAGAGTTGGAGCCAAACGAGCTGCTGGAGGAAGAGCTCCCTCTACACACACACCTAAACACTGTAATTTCACTTTTCAACAGTTAGGATGCAAATAAAACATAGGCCAACTCAGCTAAACTGGCGAGGCCGTTCTGAGTCCGTTCTCATGCAGTTATAGTGCAGTTAAATGCACTGTTTTTCTGGAGAAGTCTTGAGCAGAAGTGATTATTTGCAGCACACAGATGTCAGAGGAAGTGGTTACATTAACTGTCAACTTCAGCACCATATTTAGAGTTTGTAGGGACTGTGTTTTCTCGGTGAGAACAAAAGACTACTGTAGTCTAGCAGTATATTTAGTGCATATTTTGTATTTTTTCCAAACTACCTATAATAAGAATAATAATAGGATGAAGTAAAATAAGAATAATATATTAGGCTACAACCGAACATTTATCGTGATTACCATAATTGAACAAATGTCACATATTTCGTGTCACAGTGTTTGTTGTTACACTAAAACTGTGGTAATTTGTTATGCGTCAGCGACGACATCATAAAAAAGAATTCAAATGACAATAATTGTGGACTTGTTTGTTTCTATATCCATTTATAAAGACTTTTCTTTGGTAACAATAATTGTTGTAGTCTTATATCGTAACTGTGGTAAGTTTTCGCGAGGACTGTCTGGCTAGAGTCGCATGTTCGCGTGCGTGTTAAGTTCTTACCGATGTTGATCCGGAGGATGAAGCGATGTAAACTTTAATCACCATAATGACCGGATTCCTCAGATGCGTTACAGCTCAATAACAGCGATGACCAAACTGCACATTCAGCTCAGTCCCGATGAGAATCTGCGCTGTCCAGTCAGCCCCGCCTCTACTGCGAGCACAGCCTGCTTCATCACATAGAGCCCTCATTAAAGACGGGTTTTCATAGAGAACTGCTCTGAAATATTCAGCTTTCTCAGAACAACTTCTAGCAAACGGCAGTTGTGACTGTATGCACTCTAAAAATTAAGTTTAATTTATCGACAGTCGCGTTATTATCTCAGTATGGTTAAGATCGTTCAGTGAATGGTGTAATATTAGAGTTTTAGTTTCATGTGCGTCCTGTAACTCTGTGACACTTGTGTATGAATTGTTTCCAGCGAATAATGTTGCAGTTTTAACCTTCATGTTAATTTGTAACACCGAGCGAGCGAGCGGCGCGACAAAGTATCAGTTGATGAACGATGCTTGTTACACGCTCGCGCGCGATTGGGGGCGCTGCTCTTTTGTCTTCTTTTTTTTGGTTTAATAATCTGGCTTGCGAAACAAACCCTAAAACCCGACTCGATTCCAGGGCGCCATCTTGAGTACAGAACTCGCAGAAATAAATCACCCCGTACCTAAACGACACTGGAATTGCAAAAAAACACTCAAAGGGTCAGATTGTTTTTCCTCGTTAAAACTAAACTAATAAAGACGCACACATAAGTTGTAGCGGAATACTCTCAAGTCAACGTTTCCTATGGTGCTGTCGACATTTATCATGAATACCTTCATGTTTGGCTCTCAGTTCTCAGCGCTGATTGGTCTATCTAGGCATCAGTCAAGCTTAAGCCACTCCCCTTAACCCATTCAGTCGCTTGCTGTATTGTTCCTCCGTGTTGTTTACTGCTGTGTTTAGTGTAGCGAGCCGAGCACGTATATGCGGAGATCTCTTCGAAAGCAGTTGTTTTTCCCCTTGTGTTTCGCAGAGTCTCTTTAGGAATCCAACATGCCTAAAAGAAAGGTAACGTTACGCATTCTCTCTCTTTCTCTCTCTCACACACACACACACTCCTGCATCAGGGAGGCGTTGTTCGGAGCTGATTCGTGTTTATTCACTGCATTGCAAGATATAGATCCGCATACGTTTATATTATTTAATAAAATATGATTTATATTATTTTACACTGAAATCCGCGCCGCGTATGTCTGTATTGTGTACGGTGTGTGCGACTGCGCGCTCAAGTTTGTTTGGCTGGTTTCCATTGCTAATGGAGTCGGCCGTGCTGTGCAGGAAGAAACTAACAAAACCAGCCACGAACCATCCACTTACGCGAAATATGACCTGTGCAATGTTAAAGACTTAACTGATTGAGAACAGACTGATATGGACAATAACATTAGTGTTATTATTTTATAGTCTTTGTTCTTGTGAGCAGATGGCTGTAATGGCGCTAGTGTACCGACAGATGGCGCGGTCAGCTGCTCCTCGCACAGCTCGCAGCTAGGGGTTGGTTGAGCTGAAATAAACTCAATCGGGTTTACTTCTACAGGCCACTGGGTTCCTTTACTGGTTTTATATGCGACTTTTTTTTCTTTCTTTTTTTTGGATTCCAAATTTTACTGGTAGTCCACTGTATGAAGAATATTTGGGTATAATTTGTCACAGTTCACTTTATTTTGCTATCCTCACATACATAAATTAACTATAGTGTCCTGCACCCACTAGTAAAAAAAAATAAAAAATTATATCTGGTGTCTGAATAATTTTTGGTTTGACTGTATATATATATTTTTTATTTCTATTCACAGAATGCAGAGAGGGATGCCAAGGATGAGGTAAAATATTTTCATGTAAACTGTTAAAATGTAACTTGGTAACTTTGTTAGGTTAATTGTTTATTGAAATATTTCCCCTTTATTTATAGTTGTGTGCTTTTTACTTATGTGTCCTCTTTTCAGCCTCAGAGGAGATCTGCACGGTTATCAGCAGTACGTATGTTGCCATTTTCAGATTGTGTGTGTGTGTGTGATCATGCAAATTGTTTTTTTTTTTACCATGTGATTGACGTGTTGAAGTCTGCAGGTTGTTATGTACGCTCTCTGATGTTGCAGTGTCTGCTAATAAAGAAAAGAGTGGAATTTTCCTCACTTTTGCCTCTCCCTTTTTTATTCAGACATTAAAAACTACAGCAATAAATTTGACAAGAGAATCATTAAAGATTCATTGATCGCTGCTCACTCTGGACATTCTAGTGTCACTAACCTCCACACAGAACTTGTTCATTCAAAGAGACAGATTTGAAGCTTGCATGTTGTGCAATCGCTTAAACTAGTAAAGCGAAATGTTAACTCAAAACATGAATTAGATTGGGAAATGCCCACTAGGGGGAGTTGTATTATGTTGGGGAATAGACATGTTAGGAGAGAGTAAGTTTGTTTGCCATGTTTGACATAAGCATCATCTGTGGGTGATCTCTGCTGATTTACATTGACTACACAACAGACTGGTTATGATCATGGCAGTTCATCTCTCTCATACTAACAATGTCCTTGTGAACCTGCAGTTCTGTTTGGAACATGGACACAAATGATTGAAAACTACCTGTTGGCAATGCATGGAGAGGAGGAATGCACGCTTCACTGCTTTGAAACACAAGCACAGAGAGTTTTCTTCACTCTTCCAAATACCGGTACGGCCCATGCATCAGCACTTACATTTCTGAAGGACACACTTTGTCCCAAAAGTCAATGAAACTGAAAAGCAACATAAAGAGAAGGGAGCAAAGGCATGATGCAAATAACAAAACAGAATTGGGGCAAGAATCGATCCTTGCGGGACACCACACATCAGCAGAGCTGAGTTTGAGGAGCATTCTCCAAACGTTATAGAGAAGCTTCTGCTTTTATTCTCATACCAACACACTTCTCTAATTGAGCAATACAAATGTTATGGTTCATTGTTTTGAAAGCAGAACTAAGATCTAAAAGAACAATAACTATGGGGTAATCCGTGTCAGTAGTCAGAAACACATCATTTAGGACTGTTACCAACTCAGTCTCAGTAGTATGATATTTTCTAAAACCAGAATGCAGTACTTCAAATATGTTATTTCCTTCCAAGTATCTTTGACAAAGGCCTAAAATGTGATAAAACGGTTGTAGATTTTGTCTTTTATTAAATAGTTTTAATAAGGGGTCGCTTTAGAGTGATACAAGTTGCAAACCAAGTGGAAAATGCAATGGCTTGGGCCTTCCCCTGGTCCATTTGTACCCCTCTGGACTGATGTTATATCTGAAAAACTGCATAGATGGCTGAGGGGGCTCACACTTCTCTAGTTTAAGGAAACACAGAATGCTAGTATAAGCTCCATATGTTGACAATGTCTCATTCCAGGATTCGATGAGGATGTTGTTAATGTAGTTCCCCCCGAACAAGTTGTTCATGAATCACGGAAATTCAGAAGAAGCGTTGGTCAGGCTGTATGACCTGATCTCATATTCATAATGGCCAGTGCAGGTCACAAAAGTGGTCTTCCTCTCATCTCCCTCCTGTATCGTGACACGGTTGAAGGCACTGTTCAAGACCTGCTTTGTAGTGTTGGGCGATATGCTCCATGGTCATATCGTCCTGTCGTCAGCCTGTGAGATCGGCGACGATATATATCGCACACCCTGCACCACTGTCTTTTTGGCTAACTTGTGCAAAATCTCTTGCTAAACTGTCAAAGCTTCATTTTAACCACCAATGCAACGATGCAAGTATTTACCTTACCTCTACATGCTTGCGAAGGGTTGATGTCGAGATTTTATAAGCGAGTAAATGTAATTTGTTACTTTCCACCTCTGCCTAATGCTTTGTGAACACTGTCACTCCTCAAAGTAGTAGCTTGAGAGCTGTGGAGCACCAGAGGAAGAGAATATTAGCCCAGGTGAAAAACAAGTGCACTTCCATAATGTACTTAAAGTGCTCTGTTTCTGCGCACTAATTTTGTACTTAATATACTAAAAATGATTATTTAGTACTTCTTAAGATAAACTTAAGATCATCTAAGTGTACTCAACTGTGCTATTTTGGGACACCATGAATATGAACTAAAATGCACTTTTAACATACTATCACTGTATTTAAAAAATGTATTTAGTCACCACTTGTAGTACACTTGGGAGTAAAATTAGTGCGCAGAAACAGAGCACTTTAAGTACATTATGGAAGTGCACTTGTTTTTCACCTGGGAGTAATTGATGGTTACCTTGTTAAAAGCTCTATAGTCAATGCAGGGCCTCAAACTTTTCTTGGCCACGAAGAAGAAATTTGAAGTGGCAAGGGATGTAAATGTATGTATGGTTCAACACCTCCTCCTGGAAGCAGGTCTCTCCCCACACTAGCACCACTGAGGAGGTCTCACAGAGCATTCTGAGGTGATATGAACACCAGCTCCGCAGTAAAAAACAGTCTTTCATGCAATGAGTGATTCATGCCACAGTGATTTCATGCAATGAGATACCCAGATAGTTGGAAGAAATGCTCAATCCCCTTCTTGCCGTTGTAGTCGGAGAGATGCAGACAGAGATGGTTCCAGTCCTGGCATTAAGTTGTGAGGAAGGCCAACGTTTTCCATTAGTGCAGTTCTTGACTGAAGGTGAATGAGGAACATGTGTGTAGGATCAGTAGTCCAGGAAGAATGAGCAGAGAAGAAGAGCCTGGTGTTTGCATGACAGTTATAATCTAATGGCTAATGGCAAACTTCAGAAGGAGGAAGTGAGATACGAGTTAGTTAGTTTATAGTTCATTTCTATCACCAGCTACAACTGGTTTATGTCAATTTCAATACCAATACTCATATGGAACATTGTGCGGCAAAGCCAAGCGGCAACCTCCCGGTCTCTCTCGTGAAACCAACACGGAAGTGACTTAAACTGTAATTCATCGACTGGCCGCTAGAGGCTGGCTCCAAAAGGGAGTCAGTCCCATAGACTCCCCATGTTAAAATGCCCAACTTTACAGCAGAAAAAAATATGTTTACAGCTTGGTACAAAAAGTGGTTTTGGTCTAAATAGCTAATTTTGTCCTTCATGACAAGTGTGAGGAGGGTGGATTTTTTTATAACTCATCCGTTTAAATTATATTATGCCTTAAAGTGTCCTGGAGGGCCGGTGTCCTGCAGAGTTGGCTTCAAAAACGCTCTTCGGAAACCTACGGGTGACGTCACGGACACTACATCCATGTTTTTATACAGTCTATGGGCAAAGCCTCTTTCTTTAAATCCTCCATTGTTCTTAGTCGGGTCCCACTATTGTACTTACAGGATAAATTGACCCATTTTTAACCTTCTTTCATCTTTCAAAAGACCTTAAAGGTGGTTCCTAAATAATGGGTTCCTTCAGGTGGTAGCAAACATTAGATACTTTTTTTCTTTTACCTTCTGTTACATCAAAACAATCTGAAAGACAGGGCAGTTTCACAAAACACATTGTTGCAGCCCCTGCCTTTCATAACTGTACAGTATAGCAGAGAAAAACTATTCTAGTGTTTGTTGCCATCTAGTCAAATGATCTAAGACTACAGTAAAGGCCTCTAGAAAAAGCTTTTGGAGCATTTTTATTAGAAGCTTTTACTAGAATTATTAGTATTTTTTTAAATGCTTCAGGGTGCCCCCTGCCCTTTAGATCAGTATACTTTGATATAAGGAGTTAGGGTCTGGAAAAAATAAAATGCGGTTACACTTTATTTTGATAGTCCACTTTAGACATTCTACAAACTATAAGTAACTTTACAACTACATGTCTACTAACTCTCAGAGTAGACTCTTAGGTTAGGTTTAGGGTTAGTAGAATAAGTTGACATATACTTGCAAAGTTTCTTATAGTCAGTATGTTGTATGTTGTGGACTCATCAAAATAAAGTGTTAGAAGATATTAAGCAGACAGTCTACTAATACTCTAATGACTGCTAGTTGACATGTAGTTACAAAGTTGCTTACTGTTAGTAGAATGTCTAAAGTAGACTATCAAAATAGTGTTACCTAGAATTCTAATGTTTGCTTCCAAAATAAGGAACAATTGGGGGGGGATGGTGTTAAAAATTCAAGCTGGTAAAATGACCGTGAGTTCCTACAGAGGGCTTAAAGTAGCAGCAGTTTCCTGAAAAAAAGTACTAAAACCCAACCCTTTGAAATGAATATTATCTTAACCAGTGTCCAAGGTCCACTGCGATAAGAACACCTCACCTGACGTAAAAAACATCTTATATTACCACCAAGAAGGCATCTGATTACTATCGATGTCCACAGAGTAATGCCAAAACACAGGCGTGTTTACCTGATACAATGAAAGCCAACCTGAAGCTTAGAGCAGTACATGGACGTTCATGTATCTGGCTGTCGGTGTTTGTTTTCCAGTGCTGCTTCCAACTAAGCGCTTCCTTGATTTACTGGACTGCCTATGTGGAAGTCAGATACTTTGGCAGCGTATCTAATGAAACTGTGGGCAGTATATGTGAGTGTGGCGTGTTTGGAGCCGACTCACCCTTGGATTCAGCTTCTGGGCTTCTTGTGCTTCCAAATTCAGATCCTCTGGCGTGCTCGAGGGACACTACTTTCACCGCGAAACACCAGCCATGGATTGCCCTGATAAAAAAAGGGAACTGTACGTATTCACAGAAGATACGAGCTGCCCAGCGACAAGGAGCCTCGGCGGTGGTTATTTACAACATAGATGGGATGGGCAATAACACTAACCTGATGGCCCATTCAGGTATGAGAGTCTCTCTATCTGGCAATCCAAAACAAGTCAGTTTGTGTTAAAGCAGCTTTACAGAATATTGTGCTGTGTCATCTTACAGCAGCCAGAGAGCAAGGCAAAGGTAATGCTCACAAGGAAACAACTCCATTAGATGTTTAAGTAGTGGAAGAAAATAACCTTGAGAGGAATTAATAAAACTGACTGATTTTTTTTTCTTACATGGTATTATATAACTAACTTTATCCTAGGGTAAGTTGTTCTGACTAAAGAATCAAATGCATCCTAAGGC